ATGCCCAATTCGGAGTGGCGTAAACAGAGAGGTGGCCAACCCTTGACTTGGCAGAGGAGTATGAAGGAGATCACGAAACGCTTGGGTGCTGTTGGTGCTGCTCGCCTTCCAGGATGGGGACCGCGTGATCCTCACTGTGCCTGGTTGGAGACACTACAATATATGGCTGCCAACCGATGTCAGTGGCGTTCTTGTTGTCAGTTTCTATCCAGACTGTCTGAGTGAATGTCTGGAGGTGTAGGCACCTCGGAATGATTGTGTTAAGCTAGCACTAAGTCCCTCCCCCATCCACCTTTATTCTTTTCTTTACAATAAGGCTTTCAAGTAAGTCATGGTTGTACGGCAGTGAAGCATCGGTGTTGAACTGTCATGTCATGCTGTTGATGGTGATGAAAAAAAGGAAAGCGTTCAGCTGTAGTACCCTTTCGGTGCCTAGCTGCCATGCCACCCCAGCACGAGGGACACTGATGTCATGCTGTTGATGGTGATGAAAAAAAGGAAAGCGTTCAGCTGTAGTACCCTTTCGGTGCCTAGCTGCCATGCCACCCGAAGGAAGCACGAGGGCTGGGATACTGCCATGTTGCCCAAGCCTAGACAGTGGAAGTCGAGTGACGGAGGTCGGATTCGAACCACGGACCTTCCGGTCAGTAAATTCGCGCTCTAACCACTTGGGCCATCTCGCCCAATGACGATGATGATGATGACGTGGTACAACTGGATCCACGGTTGATTGGCCGTTGGTGGCCGCCAGGTTACGCTATGTGAACGTTTGTGTTCGTACTTGTCAGAAGCAATTCATGGTCAGCGCATAACTAAAGGAGTTGATCTCCGTTTTCTGTGCGGTGGGAATCGACTCCGAATCGACCGCCCAAATGTAATTCAAAAGGAGCTCAGACGACCTACTTGAGCATTCATATCGCCTGCTTGGATCACAATGTCAGTGATTTTGCATGACAAATTAGCCAGGATAGCTCTCGATAGAAAGCATCTTTTCCAGCATCAGAACTACAGTCCGTTGAGGCATAAGCCGACACTACAAGAGGCATCGCTTTTTATGCCGGGAGGCATTGAGCTTGATTGGACTGAATAACCGGACAACACAAAGACGACTGTTCACTGGGATTGAAGCCAGGAAGGCGCGTTCGGCTCTGGGACCGAGTGCAACTTTCACGCTGTATATTCCACGAGTCATCGCTTCTGGGTCACCGGACACGGAGGGAGAAATGTGAAAGAGCTGAGTTCATCCTTGGCGTTGAGATGCATAACCATGCTAGGGTCTTGTATGCGCGTTTCGGAGACACAGCATACATCAATTTTAAGGGAGTACCAGTTTTCATCAGGTATTACCTGTGCGCCAGTTTGACATAGAGTGCGGACGTTAAAAGCCCTTGTATGAAAAGGACCTCGTGGATTTAGAAAGGTATTATTCTGTTTATTTTTAATAGGCTGCGAGGAGCATAAGGCTCTTCGGTCTGATAACTGACAGTCAAATGATCCAGCGCGTTTGCTTTTGTGGTGGCAAGGGGGTGGGGAGGGACAACGGTGGAAACTTCCCGGTTGCCCAGGCCGAGGAAGGGGGTTTGGTTTAGGCACCCCACCTTGAGTCTTCGACCCAATAGTCGGACTCACAAGGCAGTGGGAGGGTGTTGGATTTTGTTTGGAGGCTCTGCCCCTAGTCTCTGACTCAAGGTCTGACCCACGAAGCAGTGAGAGAATGTAGAGTTTTGTGAGGGGAGCATACCTCTAGTTTCTGACTCAAAAGTCTGACCCATGAGACAGCGGACAGCAGGGTTTTCCTTGGGAACCCTGCCTGGAGCCGATGATTCAGTAGTGTGACCTGCTCTGCTGCAGGGGAATGACCTAACCTGAGGACGCAGGGAATAAGTCGTTACCTTCTCATTCCTGATGAGGCTGCGCACAGCGGGTGCCTCTTGAGCAGCACCGGGCTCATTGGTTTTAAAAGTATTTCGAACGTATTGGATAATGCGCCGGCGGTCACGGTTAACCGCTGGGCGATCGGAGTGTGCAGTTTTTGGGGCCGACCTTTTCTAACCCGTCCTTCCCCGGTGGAAGATAGTATCGCCTTCTCCATAAATATGGACATGCTGGTCTCCTGGAGGAAACACCTTACTGCCTTCACGCTTCTGTCGCAGAGGACAGTACGACTTTACCCCCAGACCACTTTGTAGTACAATTACTCGTAGTACCGGGTCTCGCTGCTCTTGTTCTGACTGCTCCCCTTTGGCTTTCCTGGCATGGTTGCACCTTGTGGAACGAAGTTCCAGCCAGTGTAGCTCGCAGGATCATTGCAGCACCCAAGCCCGATCACCACGTCAAGGTGGCAGCTCAGTTGTGCCTTCATCCCTGGATAGGCACCCGGTAAGCAACGCCACACTAGTCAGTGACTGACGGATGCGGCTCAGCTCAACAGCCAAGGTGGTTCTGCATAGGAGCTTTTGCCCTCAATGGGTAGTTCTCTCACCCGACAAAAAATTCACTTTATTGTGCCAGTAAATACATCGCTCCGGCATGACTGTTGTCTCCTTACTCTCGCGGATGAGTGGAACTGTAGCAGCTTGAGCCACTACATGGGTATGTGTTGATGGCAGTGTCAACTCCAGTGAGGATACCTGATTGAAAAGTTTACCTTGTTTTTGGTTGATCTCAATGCGACTTCTCGCACCTTAGACTTGGTAATATAAACAGGGCACATCTACGTAATTAGAGTGATTGAATTCCTGGGACGTGGTCGATCCCATAAAAGCGGCTGAAAAGACTCATGGCTGTAAGACAATTATGCATCCATACTGGGACGATTTCATCTTCCAGAGGAGGGTGTAGATGTTTTGGGAAAGGTTTGTTAGGGCAATCGTATCACTTACTAGCGTATATACATCCATAAATTGTGCAATCATGCTGTCTGACTTGTCTTGTTTGATTATGAACCTTACACCGCGGGATTGGCGTAGTAGGTTGTGGAAGGTGGTATATATTGGAAACTGCACTAGTTCCGGTGGCAATGTAGAAGTTTACTCAGCAAGCATATTTTAAGGGCCATCGTTCCATCGACGGGCTTAGGGCAATATATATATATATATATATATATATATATATATATATATATATATATATATATATATATATATATATATGCAGAGCTGCAGTACCGGGCGTCTTGGAGTCCTAGTCGAGTTGTCGATGGTTACCTATAACTCATTACGATTGGTTGTAGAGGCTAGCATCTGGATTCCATGAGAAACAATTTAAAACTGAGTAACTGATGTTGCGGACAGGTAGTTCACCACATAGATACGCTCAACTTCGCAGGCTGCGCTCGATCGTGTGTTATACACATCTGGTCATCATCTCCTGAGAGGGCTGTATTTCTCAGCGAGCATGTGGTTTTGCAGTGTTAAGAGGAATGCTCTGTTTCACAAGCTGCCAAGGGTGTTGCAATTGGTTGCAAAGGGACAGTAGCCTTTCTTCAATATACTCTTCGTTATATCAGTTACGATCGACTGTAAACATTTGTTTTTCAGGGGAGCACCAACTCCACCATTTTTCATTTCACTTTCGTACGGCCAATCTTCTACCTAGAAAATCTTTGTCCAATGGTGTTCAACACCCGTTTTTTCTCATACTGATAAGGATAGTGGTGAAAAATGGGAGTGAAGTTGGAACCATTTACCCTATGATGCACGGTTCGGTTGTGAACTCAGTTGTTCCTTAGGATTATGTCTCATGCCAAGCCAATTTTACCCAGGAGTTTTCGTATTCTCATTAGGTCGTTTGTAAACAAAGGGGTCTGGGGATGCCCTCGATGGGCTTGCAAGTGGCATTCCCTTTTTTTAACATTTTACGCGGCATTGCTCTTCTGGTGCTAGTGATTCATAGTTATGGATAATCTTCAGTTTCCTATTTTAGGTCTTTTGCATCTTTATGCTTTTGCCTTACCAAAGCATCCGTTTTGTCATTTGTAGCATGGCTGAATTATTCTACAATAATCGAAGAATAGATGGTCGCCGAACTAATGAGTTACGTCGGGTGTTTTGCCAGTTTCAGACTGGCAATTCTGATGGCATCGTGCTCCTTCACCAAGGTACTGTCCTCGAGATAGATTAACTGTAACTATTGAAGGGAACACCAAGGTTATGGCATCAGTGGTTGGCCCCAGACCTTGCCGATTCAAAGGAGATATGAAGCCGGATGAAGCCACGTTGGTGTGTAAGTACAACAAGCCTCCATTTTCATCCACTTCCGGCGAAAGACGTAAAGTTTCCAACCGCGATCGTTCCACCAGCGACTTCGCTGCAACTATCGAAGTAGGTTATATTTTACCCATTCCCACTCGTATGAACATAAAAATTATGGAGTTTCATTTGTCTTATGTGCGCTTTTGAAAGAAGCAATATTGTGCGTAACCCCAAATGCATTTTACCATTGGAAACTGGGGAACGATCCTGGAGAAAGTATCCGCTAAAATGTGCCCACAAGGTCTGTAATACCGGAAGAGATTCTTTTTCTGAGCCCCCCGGTTCTCGGATGTCTGTTGCAACCAGTTCCTCATACGTTTGTATTCATAAAATAAACAACTATCCGGACATTTGCAGAAGACTATAATTTTTCTGCCTCAAACATAACATTAGTTTTACTAAATCAGTTCCTTGTGGATGTTCTTATCAAATTATGTGTATCAGCTGTATTCACCCACGTATAAGCCAAAGCAATCCTCCCAGAAGTGTTTTTCAAGAGGTGGCTAGTTCTTGTAGATGCTGCAATAAAAATGAAGAGACAGGCGCTTGTAAACGAGTATGGGTTGCTCTGAAGCTAAAATTGGTTGTCGTCGCAATGCGCAGTTTATAAGAAATGAATATGCCCATTTGTCCCGATGCCTTCTACTCGAAAAAGAACCGTAGATTGGGTCTCCGCGACCGGGTCCGGATATCCTGGTATGACTACGCTTTGTGTGATCAACACGATCATCTATATCTTACTGCATTTCGGCGAAAATACAGTTCGGGTGGCATGGCAGTTAGGCACCGAAAGGGTGCTACAGTTGGTCACCGATCAACCAGAAGTTCGTTGTCACCATTACAGATGCGGAAGTTTGCCGTTGGGCGACGGTCTCTTCCTCGTATAGTGATGAGAAGTTTGCAAGTTGATTGCCAAGCTCGGCGGACAGATAAACTACAAGCGACCAATCGACATACTCGAGCTACCAATGTTTCGGCACATTGCCAAGACTGGTTAGCACCACAACACTCAACTCCAAAAACCCTCGCTATTGGGTCTGGCGGGAGTGACTGAATTAAGCTCATCTCTTTGGTGTTGTGGCCGGCTGCAAACCCATCCGGCCAAAACCTTAGTACCGCCGGTTTTTCTCACTTTTATTTATTCACCAATCGTGGCTACGGGGACATTTGCTTGCTTAGTGAAAACGGACCAATAACTGATCAGATTTTTCTCGGTCAGTCGCGTTGTTTTCTACTTTCGGTTATTAAGCAGCAGTATTTTTGGAAATCTCGACAATGTACTCCCGATTCCGCCCTTTTAGGGGACTCATCAGTTACGCACAGTCCTCGAATTTCGGTCAACCTTATGTCCTATTTGATCCAAATTTGTACGGAATTTGCTAAGTACACTCACTTGATTTTAACAGGAGACTCAATTGAAACCCAACTGAATCTCTCATTTATGGCATTCTTCATATGAATGTGCTGCACAAGGCCGCCCCATATTTTTGCTGGCACGATATTCATGATATCGAAGTACGTTCCCTTGGCACGACACTACTTATAAAGTTGCCGGAAACTCCTCGCTGTTCCTCAAATGGGTGTAGTCCCCGAGTTTCCATCAGTGTACGAGTAATTGATGAGTCCCAAGAAGGGCAAAACCAATAGTGGGATATCGGAGAGCTTTCGGCATCTCTGTAGGTAGTTTGTTATGTCAAGAAAATATGCTTCGAGATATCGTGCCAACTGAATCGCGAACCTAGCAATAAATCTACTGCTTGTTTTCCCATCCTTCCAGAAATGGCCCTTGCTACAGATTGTACGACTGCATTCAACTCCTAGTGATCTCGAACTACTGGGGTTCTGTTCGAAATTTCACAATTCCTTTTTCGCTTTGTTGGGCTTATCAATGCGCATCTGATGTGGATTGTGTTGCACTGTACGCATCAGTTCAGCTATGTTGCTGTCCATTCTTTTCTTTGCATCGATCACTACCTTAAGAATGCAGTTTTGATGCAAATATGGTTTTAATTCTCCAACTCCTGCTTATTCCTGACAGTCTTTATCACTGAACTTTTTCTTGTACCCACCCACCACAGGAGATATTTTCGTGCGTAGTTCGGAAAGAAAAGTATCCAATGTCACAGATTGACATATTTCTCGAAGTCCTTCAGTCAGACGGTTCTGAATTCGCATGTGCAGTCAATGCTGCTACGCTTGCGTTGACAGATGCCGGTATTGAAATGCGGAGTTTGGCTTGCGCTGCAACCGTTGGTAAGTACCACGCTGATTGGCCAGTCTGTTAAATCACTTTTCAAGTTCACGTGACTTGTACGTACCTATTTTAACAGTGGAGTTTTGTTAAATCATGGAAGGAAACTTCGAGTGAACTGAAGAGACAGATGCTAAAACGAGAAATTGACCTGTGTCCTCCCGTTCACTGGACGGGTGCTCTACAGATTGAGCTATCGTGAACGCTGCCTGCTTCACATCAGACTCAATTTGCCACAAGTCTAACCTAAGATGACGAAGAGAAGTGGAAGTAGCTGTATTGAAACTGAGCACTGCGGAATCTTCGCGCCTTCCTGGCTGAAATACATCCGAACTTCCTTGCATGCGGTCGGAAACTCTGCACTACCTTACACGCGTCCAATCGACAGGGACGCTATCTCTTTCTAGCCTGGCTGTCTAGCTAAGGCTTGTCCGTGGACATTTGTTGAGTAAGGTTTGTAAACCATGCTGAGGATGCGTTTATTTCAGCGATCTTCGAAAGTGTTGTTGTTGATCGTTATACGTAATGATAGACCGCTTTTTTCCATGCTTTCCCCATGGTTTCATGACAGTTAAGTGCCAGTGTGCAATAATGGGTTATCGCTTTCAAACATGATACCGATGCGCAGTGTATCAAAAACCAGAAGCTATCAGCACCGCTGAAGCTCAATAGAATTGCCCACTCCAACTTCAGTGTACAAAGTAAGAGGGCAAAGGTACGGTCAATTACTGCTGGAGCCCAAATTCTGCTATGGTCATCACTTAAACAGCGAGCTTCCTTAGTTTTCGTTATTATGTATAAGATTCCCACCCGTTATTTAAACTCACCACTCAAGTTACTGATAAACTGTACTTACACCGACAGTATTTGTTTCATTCAGGTATGTGGGGACCACATTTGTTCGCCGACCTTTGTCGTTTTGAGGAGAATCCGAGGATTCCCCAACTAACGATGGTCTGTCTCCAAGTGGTGGACCAAGCGGGTCCTCTTAATCCCAACACAGATAACCCGGCCAGCCAACCGCAAGTATTGCACACGCGGCTCACCTCCTGGCTTCCCACAACGAAATTGAATGCCCTTTGTGCTGCGGCCATTGAAGTGACACATGCTCTGAGTCTGGAATTCGCCTGTTGGTTAAGAGGACGCATACGTTCAGAACTGGATATCCGCTAATCGTCGGAGTTACGCCTTCATGCTGCTAAATTGTGTACAGACATGTGGAAAGTTAGAGACCAAATTGATTACGAGGCAAAGTGCTTTTTGTCGATCTAATTGCTAACGTCCTGTACATATTAGTAAGCTCTGGCTATATTTTGAAAAAAAAAACTAGTTGATGCTCCTTGGATGGCTAGAAAACGGCTTACAGGTTGCCGCTCGAACTTTTCAATAGTGATATCTTTTGCAAACGAACCGCTGAAGATATAACACATCAGATATGTGAAAAATGCCTGATCCAGGTTTTTCCGCTGAGGTAAGAACGCCTTCCAAGTCATTGAATATACGCCCACCCGAGACATTTTGAGCCTCTAGTCAAACCTGGTAACCAAGATCTTCGGGAGAATGGGAATTAGTACGAAATACCAAACAGATGACTTCACTAGCAATCAAGCTGTAGTATACTTAGCGTCCTCCGCTTATCAGTCTTCACTCTTGTAACCGTACGTGGAACGATGCTCTAAGAAGTATCCATCAATCGAATGCTTCTGCGTTACTTTATGCTGCAGATATTTCTTGGCGTGTTTGAGACACGGCAGGTGTTTGATCAGTACCTCTATTTACCCACATCACTACGGTGTAACTGCGGCTTCTGAGCTTCAGCCAGACGACTTCTGTTTTTATCTAACAACCGCCATGAAGAGCAGAAGAGGAACGTATTTCATTCGTCTTGCCTGATTCTTGTCAGCAAAGGTTTAAAGACAATGAAGTTCAATCAGTGGTAGCGCAATATTTGCTCTCTATGCCCCTCATGCAACAGGAACTCCCGAAGTGAAAGAACCTTAGTGTTTTATCAGTGCGGATCGATCGGTTATGATGTGGCGGCAGTGGTAATATCGAATTGTCAGGGACAGGCGAGCGTAAATGTGGAGGTATAGGCGTCAGCTATAGAGAGGTAAAAAATGTGGGTGATTCTGGAAGAAGATCGAGCGGTCTCGTCTGGCGTGGGGACGGTTTGCTTTCGTTTGGAGTCATTGCGACAAATAAATCCGAAAGAATAGTTCTTCATATGGCGGAAAGTCAGTCGATCTTCGAATTGTTTTACTTGATAGACTTTAAGGCCAGTAAGTCCAGAGTGATTGATCGAACAGGGATATAATTTCGCTCAAAGCACTAGTCCGTCTAACATATTATTACCGTTCCATCCCAAAATCACTCCCGCGAGTAGTCTGATCTATTTTTCCTGAGTTTCAGAGCATTTTCGGGACACTAGCCCTGAAGGTAGACACAGTTTACTTGAGCTCAGGAAACGTCCTTGAGACTGAATGGGTGAGATCAGGTTAAGCGGAAACTGTACACGTCTTCATCAATGCTTTCCTTTCCCCACAGTGATCTGTAAAGACCATCGACATGCACTATAGTATTCAGGCTTTATTTGCCAATCCCTTGTCCACTTGAGTGGCACAGGCTAAGCGGTTAATTACGTAAGCACTCCTAACATACTATCGTGTCACATGAGTTGCAAACTCCTCAAAGACAACTAAACTGGACTATATGATCGAGTTACATGAGGTAACCCGATATTTCTCAAGTTTCAAAAGATCAACACTGGTTTCAATGTTGTGGCATAGACTTAATCGTTTATAATAACTTAACGCTTGTGATTACCGTGCCGGTTCAATACGTTACGTTGAAGTGTTTCGGCCCGTCATATTCAATGGTACTGAATGTCTGTGACAGCTTCATCGTTGACCTCAAGCCCAGCCACGTGGTACTTGATGGGGTTAAGAAGAGAAGTGGAGGCTTGAACGTTCGTCACTTTTCGATATCCTGTGTGGTTAGCTGTCAGCTGTGATGAGGATTAATCGCATGAGCCGTGTCACACTGCAGGGGTTGCGGTCCAATGCAACTGTTCTCATGTTGAATTTGAGTCTGATTTCGGGCCACGGAAGTCCGCTTGATGCTTGTCCCCAAACAAATCTTGGAACCCATAAGTTGCCTTGCTCGAAATGTGGTTTTGGTTCGGTTGTGGGGCGTAAACGCAGTGATATTTTGTCAACTGCGTCGTGCAGTTGCTGAGTGAACTTTTGCAACTCTTCCGATGACTATGTCAAGGCCGGTCGTCCTATCACAGGTCCCGAATTTCAGCATCTTTGTATTTCGGGGGATCCTGCCTCTGAAGTTCCCCTTGAGGTCTTAACAGGAAAAATGAAGCAAAAGTTCGTCCACGTTGTTATCTCTGTCCTTCGTGAGAACAAATTTGCGTGTGCGCGGGACAAAATACTGCGGCTGGCCTACAGTCGTGATTACTAGTCTCATGATTTCATCGGTAGCCAAGATGAGGTGAGCAATGTTTTACCAACTTAGTAAAACCAGGTGACTGCTTTGGTAGGCACTGTGTGCGCTCGAAATAAAAGAGAACCGTTTTAACTACTCGGCACAGGTGTCAGCGGAGTGGGAGTATAAGCGTTCGGAACGTACCGAGAGGTGTACATGATCACGATTCAATTGAGAACGGTCAGTTTGTAGCTTTATAGACCCATATTGCAGGGAAATTTCTCGCTTATTTCTGGGGAATAATCGCCGTTTCTGGTTGAACATAAGTGTTAATTTACAAATAAAGGAAAGATACACTAATTTACAAACAATGGAGAAAAGGATCAACCTAAGGAAGGCTGCCTGACAAGGCGATGCAAAAATCATGAACCTCGGAGATCCATTCGTCAAGTGAATTAGTCGGCGGCGGGGTAAAAGTCTCCAGCTTAGTCATGAAATCTGCATTTGCGGACTCCACAGTCTTTGAATTATCTTGTTCATCATTTGGTTTGTACTGAACATTAATGAGCGCGATATTCCCATCGGTTCTGACGCTCAAAATGGCTAGAACGTTGCCGTTGAGACCGCTTAGAAGGGACAGCTGGCGTTTCTCTTTATCCCAATCCAGAGCGTATTGGGATTGAAGTCGTAAGATATCCATCCGAAGTAATTGGTTGACATATTTGGTGGACAGCAGCTCGGCTGTAAGTGCGCCTGGGGCTAACGCCGCGGAGGCGCACTGAGCGATTGCGGCCACGTCTGTATGTTGATTGCACACAACCTAGGAGTAAGGAAAAACGAAGGTATCTTATAGCGTTTGTAGAGGGTCGCCAAAAGCGCTTGCGACAAAACTAAAATAAATTAGTCACACTCCACTAGTCCTCTGGGCGGCAGTTCCCGGTAGGTGTTTAATATCCGCTGACTGATAACATTTCATGCTCCATTCCACAGTGTCGTTTGTCTGTAGAAACTGTGGCACGTATGGGTAGGAATGACTGAGTGTCCGCATCGACAACAAAACACCGGTTCGCTGCCGTAGAACAATAATTTATCTTGAAGCCTCATTGTGAGGAAGACTGGATGAGGAATGGAATTATAGGTAGTCTGCCACAGTCATTCCGAGATGCATACACTCCCAGACATCTAGACAATAGACAGAAACCGACAACAATGGCACTGGCATCGATTAGCGGGTCACGATAGGGTCACGCGGACCCTATCCTGGAAGGTGAGTCGCAGCATTCAAACTATACAATTGGGAAGCGAATACGAAGGAAGTTGCCCAACCTCGACAACACCTGAAAGATCTCATAAGATCCTTCCCTAAGACAACAGAGTTATTATTAACACCACGGTTACGGTAATTTGGTTACATTTCGTACACTTTCTCTTTGAAGTCAGTAATTCGGCTTTAGCGAGTGCACAAAACTTAGTTTGACACATGCGTTCGAAGTTCCACCCCAATTAGTTGTACGGTTTCCGCGTTAAATGAAACAGCTTCACCATTATATTACAATTCGAAACTGGACGCTATTCATTTCTGTTCGGTTTGACAATCATTGTCAGGGTTATCGCGGATTGTGCACGATAGCAGGAGCACAGAAAAATGAAATAATAGCGACACAATGATTTAGGACAAGAAAATATATACAACGGCACCAGCAGCTGCGTGAGATCTCCGTTTCGATGAGTGCCTCCAACCACTGATGGGATGGATCCCTGATACTCCAGCATACGAAGAGTGCTAGTGCACAGTTATGTTGGTCATACTTCCTTTCTAGGTCATGGGGTAGCCAGCTTATGGCAGCTCCTAGCCGTAACCTCCTTCAGCAGACAAGCCACGGCGAGACACTCTACCACCTGGCATAGCCGGGCCAGCGTAGCTGTTGAATCTTGTTATCAACTGAAGAGATGGCTGTTTTCTAAAAACGCATGTCTCACACTTTAACATCGATAATCCAGTGTTCCAAGATGCGTGTGCAATGCTTCGAAGACAAAGATGGTCAAAGCCAAGCTGCGTTTGTTGCCTTCAGTGCGGTAGTCTGGCTTCACAACTGTAAAGCAATACTAGGCGCACTGTCACGTGGCAGTTCCTTCCTTTTACCGACAGGCTAATGTCACGTCGACCCCTACATCATTTGAATGGATAAATGGTTCGCCTTAGCAATCTGGACTTTCCGTAGTGCTAAGACTGGAACATTGTTAGAGGGGGCTCGATTGTCGCATATAAACTCTAGCGGGCATCTAACAACTCCTTGTGGTCTGTACCACAGTTTTCGCCAAAGCCGGTGGTAACCAAACCAGTGTTACACATGTATTCAAAAAACTGTTGTCGACTGCCACCATTTTTTCCAAAATTACTCCACCAACTTACATACAGGGGTATCTTTACTCCAGGCTATGGTAAATATTTTTAACAGCCTTGGTGAAGTTTGGTGAGACTGAATTAACTGCAGCATTACAACAGCGAGGACCGCGGAAAACTAGTGCCCGCAAACCGCCGCAATCGGTGGGACATTACTGGTTTCGCTTGCCAGAGCGATGTCAAAAATGCACCCTTATTACTGGAAGTTTCTTCCAGATACCAATTCAATGGAGAACACCTGAGCCATACTTGCTGTGCAGCACAGATGAAATAGTGCGGCAAACATGTTGTCAATAGGCCCGCCACAACAAGCAGTAAGCAAAAAGCATACACGCAAAACAAGCAAATGAGGCTTAGCCCAAATTCGCGAGGAATGTCGGTACGATGAGCTCACCTCAAGGTTGTCGCACTGACGAGTTCCACGAACCAACGCGAATGGACGACCGGGAAATGTGTCCGAGGAGGGGGTTTCAATGCGTAGGGTAACTCGGTTATCCTTTGATGAACCTGTGGACCATCCGAACCGCTGCTGATTCCACCTTTGTATGCAACTTTGGGGAGGAAAAAAATCAATGGGACAGACATGAGTTAAGATAAAAGCAACTGATAAATTCCTGGAAACTCGAAATCTAGAAAAAGCGAGGCCTGTCGATGGAGCGCACAAAGAGGAAAAGCCCAGGATTTCTCCTTTTCGTCAGGGATTATTTATCCTCATAGCATGAAGCTGCTATGATCTTTCTAATTTCGTACGACCACACATCGTTGTGCATTGATTTTTTGATAGTATCGCAAGTTCAGCTAAAGTGAAAAATTTGATGTAATATACGATATTGCCCTGTGGAAGGCAGAAGGTGAGGTGATGGATACATGCATTGTGATCACCCAACCTATGCTCAGTGCACTCGCCATCTAAAAGTTTTTGGCAAATATAATTCCTATGGTACACCTCACACATTGCACAACCTGTGATATCCAAAGCAAGTTGATAGAGTTCTCCAGCCGACCGTATGTCAGTAGTGTGCGGGTGTACTTTCACTATCCTGTTTAAACCTGAGCAGCAGTGACCCGCAAACTACTGAATCGACCTCAGCAATGGAAATTTAGGGTTGTGTTGACATCTTTACACCCCGGTAGGTGCTAGGATGACGGCATATGTAGGAGCGAAGCATCAATTTAATACTCCTGGATTTTCACATTGAACCTAGCTCCGCCGACCGGCTTGTTTTGCTCAACACACCTGCTCAGCAAACAGTGTCTCAGAAGTTTGTAAATGTGATCATTTCTCTTATTCTCGGACTTCCGGGTGCCCTCCAAAAATTTCGTACAAAAATGGCATCCAATAACTAAATCTGTTCTTCTTTTCTCAGCATTGTGATCGATAAGTTGGTGAAAGGAACGTCAGGTCTTCAAAACACCTTTGTATTCGCTCCGCCATTAAGGTCAGTGGTCAACCAATGGCGTGGCTAACTAATCTCAGCTTGAACGCACAGATGTGGGTATCTCACCTGGACAGGAACTCGAGATAGTTCAGTAGTTAAGGCGCGAACTAGGCTTGCACAACTTAACAGTATCCCAGCTTTCGCACTTCCTTTAGGTGACGTGGCAGCTAAGCACCGAAAAAATGTTAGGACTGAAAGACAGAGACAGAGCAGGACCAAACAAAACCCTCTGGACGTTGGCCTCACACTGATAGATGCCAATCAACCGTTGCTTCTTACGACTTGTATGATTGTGCTTATTTCGCTCGTGACGAAGATCACCCACGGTTATAAGACTCCGCACTCAACGTCGTATTTTTCACCAGTATTCAACTCAGATATGTTACAGCTTGAAATCCATTGGGCCTCATTCGTGCCGAATACGGTGCAGATACACTCAAATAAATCATAAGTCGGAGGTCTTAACTTCGCTTTTTAAGCAAGAAGTCAGTGAGGAAAAGAAAAGGAGTGGGTGAGGGAGGGGATGTAGTTGTCGCCTATGTCACGCATTCTGAGATGTCTACACCTCCAAATGCTCAGTCAGCCAATCTGGAAAAAAACTGACAGCACGAACGCCACTGGCATCGATTAGCCGCCATTACTTGCAACGTCCCCAGTCAAGCACAGGTGGGGTCACGGAGACCCCATCCTGGAAGGCGTACAACACCAACAACACCCAAACTCTTCGTGATCTCTTTCACGCCGTTCTGCCAAGTTATGCGCTGTCCATGGTAGCCTGGTACACACGACCCTTAAGATCCAGTGAGATGCCTTTTTGACGCCACAAATGACGCAAATTAGCAAACGTGATTACAGCCTTTGAGATTCTTGCACCTCATCAGACACTTCCGTCAGAGCCAATACAATTACCGGGATATGTAAAGTTTTCCACAATCTCCAGTGATTCTCCTTGAATTGTAAGGGACATGTTCGGAGACTGCACGTTCTGAAGCATGACTTTGCACTTTGAAGGTGCAAGGCGCATGCCAAAAGATAATATGATGGTGGTCAGTTTATTCGAAAGGGCTCGCGCCTCGCTTTGGTCTTCAAAGATGAGGGTGACGTCATCTGCGTACTCTAAATCGACAAGGCTCTCATCAGCAACAATTTCAACACCGGGGTTTTCAAGATCCTCCAGTGTCCGCCTCATTATTTCATCAATGACGAAGTTGAACAAGAATGGAGAGTGGACGTCCTTGTCTGACACCACTTTTTGTAGGAGAGCTCATTATACACACCCGCCCAGAAGTATGTGAATATAGGGATCGGATTATGTTTGCAAACTTCTGGGGCATACCCTGTTGAGCAAGTCTAGTTTACAGTACTGGTCGATCGATAGAATCAAACGCATCCTTGAAGTCAAGGAATACCAGGATTGTGGGTCGTGTGTACATATGGCTTTGCTCTAACACCTGATGGAATGTGAAGATGTAGTCAACGCAACCTCTACTCGGTCGAAATCCCACTTCATTCTCACGAGTCAGGGCTTCGCGTGCCACCGTAAGACTACGTAGATTCAATGACACCGGAAGCCTTGTCACAACAGGCGTCAAACTAACACCACTGTGGTTACTACATTCACTGCGAGTACCCTTTTTGAAAGTGGGCACTACTATCGATTCACTCCAGTTATCTGGGACGGTCTCCTTCTCCCACCTGTTGACCTGCTTGCTTCAAAGTGCGGACATTGAAGGTAGCTAGGTAGACACGCCTTAGTGGTTTGAAAACTGACTTAGAAGTGTTTAGGGTTATGACTGAACTGTAACGTACAGAAGCTGCAGCTGAATGTGATGCAGGGCGGGCAAAACGGTTAGTCCTAGAGCTGGGACCTGCGGAGAAAGTATTCAAATTTGGGCGGTGGAGGGTGAAAGACGGAAAACGTGGAAGTGTAAGAAGGGAGACGTCAGAAGTAGCACGTTTTCGCTTACCCACCCTGTTGTGTGCAGCAAGTAAGGCGACTCGGCTGATGGCATCACGCGACGGCCAGTGTGGCATAGAGTGTTGTTATCTGTAAACGTCATAGTTGTACGAGGGCTGGGATACAGCCAGAGTGCCCACACGTAGACAGGAAGACGATTAGGACTGTCGACCAAAGTCTTTCACTCAAAAGCCTAACCGCAAGTCAGCGGTGTTCGGTTGGAAATGCAACTGCATTACCATTTTTACCAAATACGTCGCTACACAAGTTCCGAACCCAACCTGGAGGACCAGGAAACTGTGTTCGTCAGACCTCTACCCATGTATCAACCAGGTATGAGAGAATCTGTGAGTGTCGCGAGGACACGCCCCAGTATAGCTCAGTGGGTCGCCGGGGTACACAAACCGCCACACCACGGTAAGGTCCAGTCTCTTCGTGACGGGAGCACAATGACTAAATCCAACTAAGTGAAACGATCCTCTGGTGGACCGGTAGAAAAGATGTCGTGCATGGCTCAGGATAGGGATAGTATATGCCAGAGTTCAAATATACTTCTACAGATGAGTAGTCAGAAAATCTGCAGACAACTAGCTTTGAAACTGAGCAACATGTGGAAGACACCCATGAAGTATCGTACTCGGTTTGTTTGTCTATCGCGGCTTGTGAGCAGTTCGACATGTAGGTGTTCATGTGATCCGTACACGCTACTAACTGTTCTCGGATAGTTTGAACTTTGGCCATTAATTGCTTTCGTCTATCGATCATCTGATGGGAGGCTTCTGTGCACATTTCCAAATACTTTTTCACCTGTGGGAAGAAATGATAGAAACTCGTTGAATGACACGTTGAACCGAATCAATAATGTTCCGATAATACATAATCACTCCAACTGAGGGAGAAAAAAGCGAACAGTGTACAATGATAACAATGACAAAGTTGAGCCAGGTACAAAACTACGTCTGACGTTTAAAAAAGACTACTAAAACAACCGAGCCCTGAAAACATTGCCCGAACATGGGTGTGCTGACAAAATGTTCATTGTCTGTCACATGCTGAAGCATCGTTATGGCTGCTGACACCCAACTATTGTACGGCCTTCAGATATGTGTAGATTTTGCTCATATTGAGAATACAAAAATTCAAACCGACAACTAGGGTAGCTCATAAGTACTTGATCACGCTCAAGGCATCACAACCATACTGACAACAACACATCAGTAGCGAATCCTGGTGCCTCAACTATTATGCGAACAGTATGAAAGGACGTCGCTGTAAAAGAGAGCAGGACGACTGGGTGCAAAAAACGCCTTAAGGAGACCAAGAAGCCATCTTCGAAAAGCAGTTAAATAAACACGGTTGAGCATCATGTTAGGGTAGGAAATCATCCGACAGACTAACCATACGAGCTTCGTGAAGCCCATCCAGCTCATGATGTGCCGGCCAGTGCAGATAGCAAAGGACAGCATGTTAATGAGTCCGACCGAACACGTGTCACGATCTATAGGGTTTCCGTCACATGCAAAGATAATTGTGTGGGCATCAATAAGGAAGAAGCGAAGTTGCAAACCATCCACCCACTTTCGCCACATCGTGGTTTGCTGTCGTGAATACTCTGTCAGCGAGTTTAAAATTGTCCATCAGCGCTTTCACTGGTAGACCGGCTAAATATGCGCAGCACACGTTCCAGCAAACTCAATCTGACAGGCTTCGTTTACTGGTTGCGGACACGATAAAAACATCATCATCGACAGCACGAATAATTCACTGCCGTAAAACCAGTATTTCTTCGAAACCCTTATTGTAAAGAAAATGTTGTTTGGTAAGGAAGCGACTTATTACTAGTCTGATACAAACAGTTCGAGGTATGTAAAACTCCAAACACAGCCAAACAATCTAAATAAAGACTGGGAACAAAAAACAGCGCTGATATTGACAAGCAACAGTATGTTGCAGCATCTCCAGCGAAGCACAGGGAGGAGTACGAGGACCTCACCCTGGAAGGTAAGTCGCACCAAGAGTACGGAGGCTTTTTGTAATCGCCCCAATCCCTCTGCGCAAGGTCAACATTTAACCGCCTATCTGCTTGAACTAATCTGAAATGAGCAAGAAAAACAGCAGCCCCACCAGCAGACTACGGTTCGGCATGCACCATCCATGACCAGGCCAATACAGGTTTGGTGCTAGATGAAAACCCTAATGCACAACAGGACACCCACTTTCAAGTTGTCTCGTTGCGGATTCGTTGACGCCACCTTACGTGGACTATGGTGAGCGAAGAACTGAAGAAGTTATAATTCCGCAACTTGCACAAGCCATATCTCACCATACAAAACAGCCCGTCCCGTAGCCTCATTTACTTACTCCTAGAGATAAGAAGATACGTCACCTATCCGACATAGTGTCTCGAACAAGCAAACACCTTATAGATCCTTGCATTGACTTCATCTTCCACACTGCAGTTAACAAGTACACAAACTTCAAGGTGCGTAAAATGCTCAACCACCTCAAGTGCCCCTTTTTGGATCACAAGTGACGTGTCCACTGATCGTAGTTTGAGGAGCATGATCTTACACTGCGTGGCCTCAAAGGGCACACCAACGGACGAGACGGTTTGGTGAATCCATCCAAAAACGCAAGCACTCTGGTCTCCCCTTTAAAGGTGAGAACGATGTCGTCCGCACATTCCAGGTAGGGCAAGTGTCTATCAGCAAATATCTGGACACCAGGATTTTGACAGCCTTCGGTCAGTTAGCTCAGGAACATGTAATTGCGAATTTGGGTGAGAAAGGTGGGAGTGAACGTCCTCGTTATACACCATTTTTTGTACCAAATCTTTTAGAGAGCCTCATACGTCCGCAAGTCGGGAAATACAAAAAACTTACTATATGTACAAACTTCCGGGACACTGCTGAGCAGGCTTATCAAGGAGAACAAACCGGCCAACAGAGTAAAATCGAACTTAACAATCCACGTTAATTGGATTCGCGGGTCGATCATACATATGCCTAGCACTTGAAGGTGTACAGATGTGGTCAACGCAGCCACTACTAGGCCGAAATCCCGCTTACTGATCTTAGGTCAGTGCCTCATGGTCTAATATAAGGGTAAGAACACATGGCCCCAAGTGTTGTCACAACAGGATTCAAACTGATTCCCTTGCAACTGACGCATTCACTACGGGCTGCATTTTAAAACGGAGTTACTGCCGATTCAGTCCAGGTGTTTGAAACCGTCTCCTTTTCCCAAATGGGGACAAATAAATCATACAAATGCACGAGCGACCCAGCCCATTCTTCAACAACATGAGTGGGAGGATATCCAGACCAGGGGCTTGTGGGTCTGTGGGAGACGTACAGTCATAAACCCGACATCGTAGAGGGGTCCGTGTTCACCGTCCACGGTCCAAATGCAGTCTGAGAATCTGACGATATAGGAGGACCTGAATAGGAAACTTGTTAATCAGCGTCCGGGCCAACAATCAAGGCGTCCATCTTTATTAGTGTTGGTCACACCAGATGGATCGTTAGTTTTTTCGGTCCAGGAGAATTTTGGGGATCGGTCAACCGGAACAATCGAAATGGCCTTCAGAAACTCCTGATATCCTGCACCTTTTCCGGTTCCTTAGCGTTTCATACCCATCAGGCTTAAAAGTCGACGCGGAAACGTCAAACAGTTCGTCGGGTTGAATTATGTTCAGGACCGAAGGAAACATTTCCCAGAGGTTCAGGTAGTGCCACTGTTACTCACGATATCCAGCGCCTGAAGCTGGTGGTGCTGCATCGCAAGCGAAGTCCCAGGCATTGTAACGACCCAGTCCTAGTTGACATCCGATAGTAAAACAGCTGGAAGAATCCGGAAGATGGCTATAATAAATTTAACTTCAAGATATGCCAGCCCCCTTGTGGTTAAACGATTTGTCCGTCACTTGGGCATACCCAGAAAGCGAAGTACGTAGTGACTCCAACCGTGAGCATAGTCAGAATCCAACCAAATGTTCCAAGCAGAGTGACAATCAGTGAACCACGCCATAAGTAACTGATGGTGTTGTGATCAGCCTGTTCATGGTCGGCAGGCATTTGGAAAACCAAACGATTTCCGCATAAAGGCAGTCTGTAGTCAGTACATAACTGTCGTTCGCTCACTTGTGCATTCAAATCTCCGGCAACCGCAATTGAACATAAATTTCTCGTCCACCGTATCAAGACACTTGAGGTGTCATAAAAGTTGTCCTTGATGGTGTCAGAGCTACGTCGGTTGGGATGTAACTGGAAACACCAGTGAG